ATCGCTGCGAACACTAAGGTTTTGGAAGGATTTCGTCTTGCGCGCGCGAATGTCCACTTTACCTTATTTTTTGCAAGGGATTCTTGAAATTTGATTATATTAGAACAAGAAATGTCATTTTCTATTGTTTTTTGCAAGGGAAAGCGGATTACAACAAAACAACCGGATCCTGTACACACCCTCTTTTCTGAGGCTTCCTCACGAAAATGATGAAAATGTAGCTGCGGCCTAGGCGGCGCAGGGGGGGCGCGCACCAGGGGGCCCAACAATAATTATTCTTTAGAATAAATAATGTTCAACAACAACAACAACAACAACAACAACAACAACAACAACAACAACAACAGCAACAGCAACAGCAACAGCAACAGCAACAACAACAACAACAACAACAACAACAACAACAACAACGGCGGCGGCGGCGGCGGCGGCGGCGACGACGACGACGACGACGAGCAACGACAACAGCAAAAACCAAACTGAAACAAAAAGCAAAAGCTAAACCACAAAAAAAAGGCACAGACACCGCGCGCCGAAGGCACGGCGCGCCGACGAGGGCGGGGCTGCCACCCGCCCTTGAGGGGGGGGGGGCGGCAGCGGCCTCCCTGAGACGCAGGGCCGGTGATCGAGACTATTCGCCCGGCCGTCCCCGGGCCCGAGGCCCGGACTGGCCTCAGCCGCGGTGCGCGCCAGTGAGGGGGAACGAGAAGGGGAGGGCTCAGGGAAGCATCGGCCCGGAGCCAGCGAGGCATCGACGACACCGCGGCGGCGAAGAAAAAAACACGGCAGACATCCCGGGCAGGGTGGGCCATGCACCCGGGCCCCGGTCGGCGATGAGTGGGCGAATGGAGTGTGGTCGATGCGTCCCCCCCTGGCCCTGTCCAGTCATCCGACGTCCCGATTTTTCCATAGCGTGGACCCCTGGAAAGCTACCTTCCCTGGGACCTGCATCTCATCCTGGATGGCCTCTTGGCGTGCTCTCGGGGCCTGGCCGGGGTCCAGGAGGCCGAGAACCAGCAGAAGCCCTGCGTCGTGAGTCTTCACGACACGAGGATGCCAGGGTATACTTTACATCCCCCCCTCGTTGCCCCTGGGCTAGTCCTCCTCCAGGCGCCCGCGGGCCATGGCAGCCTGCAACCACGGCATGGGCCGGAGCCTGGACAAGTTGAGCGCCCGCGCGCCCGCGCCGCGCTCCGCCTCCACGCGGAGGCGGGCCCCCCCTCCAGCGGCGCTGGGCCGGCACGCGCGGTCGGCGGCGGCGGTGTGCACCTCCGGGCTGCGGCCGCTGGCGCCCTGGACGAAGAGGGCGTAGTACTCGCGGAAGAAGGGCATGCCGAGGACCCACACGTCGCCGTGGTCGCTGGTCATGTTCATCTCCATGACGCTGGGCTGGCAGGTCGAGCTCATGTCTTCCCGCATGACGTCGCCCATGTAGGCCGAGGGCGGCAGCGAGTGCTCCACCCCGTCCAGCTGGAAGTTCAGCCTCGGGTAGCGGTGGAGGTCAACGCCCTCGCAGGCCGAGGCCAGGTGCCAGCCCTCGGCCTCGGCGCTCAGGGCCCGCACGGCATCGGATGGCATGGACAGCAGGGCGGTCCCGCTGTCAGGGATCGCAGCGCACCCACTGCCACACGCGATGGTACGGTCGCCGATGCGCACATTTTTGAGGGAGATCATCCAATGAGTTGACTGCTTGGTTGTCAGCCGATGGAAGAGTCCCGGCGACGAAGAATGCGCGTCATCATTCCACACGATGTACCCGACCGAGTCTTCTCTCTCTTGACCCAGACAGATCCGCCACCGTGCCTCTGGGCACAGAGTGGGCGCGTCCTCGGTTCTTTTGCCCAGTCCCCTGAGCCTCAGCCCTCACTCCGAAGGAGCCTTCCAAGGGAACGAAAGCCCAAATTCACAAACCTCCCGGGGCTTCCCGCGGCCTGTCGTGGGACCCCGGCGTCTTCTCTTACGTGACTTCTTCGGGCCAGGGCCCCGAGACTCCAAGAGGCCGCCAAGACGGTCCAAGAGGACCCCGAGTCAGCTGACGGTCGCCCCAGGACGCCCAAGATGGCCCCCAGACGGCCCAAGAGGCCGCCCAGACGGCCCAAGATGCCTCCTAGAGGCCGCCACAGGAGAGCCCCGAGAGGCAAAAAGTCATTAATTGTCTTCAGTGTTTCAAGGTTTCTGGCTCACCCAGAAGACCTGGTTGCCAAAATGTTCCCCGTCCAGATGGCTCCAAGATGGCCCAAGATGGCCTCCAAGACGGCCAAAATGGACTCCAAGTTCGCCCAAGATGGTCCAAGACGGCCTCGAAGACGGCCCAAGATGGTCCGAGATACCTCCAAACTCGCTCCAGAAGCCTCCAAGACGGCACAAGACGGCCCAAGAGGCCTCCAAGAGGCCTCCAAGACGGCCCAAGAGGCCTCCAATACGAAGATGGCCTAAGACGGCCCAAAATTGCTCGAAGATGGCCTAAGACGGCCCAAGAGGCCACCACAAAGTCTCCAAGACAGCCCAAGAAGCCCCCAACAACAGCGCCTCCAGGAAGGCCCGAAGAGGCCAAAATCATTGATGCTTCTGATGTGTTTGAAGCATTCTGGCATTTGCTTCTTCTCGGCCTCCCGACGGCCCGAGACGGGCGAAGAGCCCCCACAGATCACCCCAAGAACGCTCGGAGGCCCCCAAGACGGCCCCAAGGGGGCCCCAAGACGTCACAAGAGGCCTCCAAGACGCCCTAGATGACCTCCAAGACGGCCCTGGAGCACACCACGAGGGTCCCAAGTCGGCCCAGAGAGGCCCCCAAGACGGCTTCCGACAGCGTCAGACGGGCCAGGAATGCCCTAAGACTGCCCTAAGATGGCCAAAGAGGCCCCCGAGAAGCCCCCAAAGGCCACCAAGAGGCCCACGGCGGCCCTCAAGATGCCTTCAAGAGGCTCCCAGAAGCTCCCAGAAGACCCCTAGAGTGCCCCCAGAGGCTCCCAAGATGCCTCCTCCTCCTCCTCCTCCTCCTCCTCCTCCTCCTCCTCCTCCTCCTCCTCCTCCTCCGCCGCCGCCTCCTCCTGCTCCTCCTCCGCCTCCTCCTCCTCCTCCTCCTCCGCCTCCTCCTCCTCCTGATATTCCCGACCATCCTCCCCGAAGGCTTTCTACAACGGCTGGGGGAGCACATGGTCCGATAGCTTGGCAGAGCTCTTGCCACAACGCTGGGCCACATGGGCGATTCCAAAAGGCAGGGAGCGGCGAGTGGTTCGCCGCAGGCCTCTTCGATGGAGAACGTCATGATCGGAAGCAGCTTGGACAGAACGGCCTTGTGGTCCGGGGCCTGCCGCGTGCCAGCAACCCGCGAGTAGGGGCCCAGACCAGCGATGAAGCTGAACTCCCCGTACATCATCAGGTTCATGCTGCTGCTCGTCACCTCGGGGGCGTCCAAGAGTGGGGCGTCCAAGAGGGGGGGCGCAAATCATGGCTGGCGGCATGTGCGCCGCCCAAGGGGGGGGGCCAGGGACGCATTGAAGTACGAAGAGGCGCCATGAAATCTGGGGAGACATCATGGCCCCCGCGATAAAATGCACCGCCCTCTAGTCATCACCCCCCTCTTGGCCACCCCCGATCACCTCCCAGAAGCGGGCGCTGGGGGCCTGGAAGGGACCGAGCTCCAGGTCGTCGTAGGCCTCCACGGCGCGGAAGCCGCCGCCGCTGTACCTGAGCGTCTGCTCCTCGGCGCCCTGCCGGTAGCTCCGGCTCTCGCCCGCGTGGTACGTGTCCTCTGGGCAGAGGAACCCACCGCACTTGTCCGAGATAACCACCTAGGACGGGGCCAGGACGGGGACAACATCGGACCGGGACAGCTCGGGGATCTCTGAGATCCAGCGACTCTGGAGAATGCACCGTGCGCCGCGACCCTTCCAGGGCACTCCAGAACGCTCTGAGAGCGTTCCGGAGCGCCCTGGATCGGCTCATTTCCTGTCCTAGCCCCGCCCGCCCACCAGCTCCGAGGAGCCGGTATCCATGACCCCCTGTAGCGGCTGGCCGCCCATCTTCAGCGAGCCCTTGTACTGCTCGTAGCCGTCCGTGCTGCGCAGCTCCTGCCGGTGCGGGCCAGAGCCTGCAGACAGCGCTGGGCCATCAGCGACCGTCACGAGCGATGGTGGAGGGAAAGAAGCGGGCACCGTGCCCAAGACTCAACGCGGAAGCGTCGGTACCGATCTTGGTCACCGTGCACCCTGGTCAACATCGGCTCCAAAAAACAAACAAAACGGCCGGCATGGACCACGACCAAAATCACTGCCGAAACGATCCCGCGACATCTTGCTCATGGTCAGCGGGCTTCTCCCCTCGAGATGGAGCCGACGGCAGGCAGGACACGAGCAGAGCCACCCCCAGCCGCGGCGGGGCCATGATGGCACGGCCCGGCGGCACACGGCACGGTCGGCGCAGCCGCGACCGGGCCGACGCTGGCGCCGCGGCCCTGTCGAGCTCCGCCGCCCTCGTCGCCCAGCAGCTAGCGGCGCTCCAGGCCCATGTAATATGCAGGTGCTCGTCACGGTACGCTGGCTTGGGCCAGCCCTGGCCACGGAGGACCCAGACCTCCGACACAGCGAGGGCCCCTGCAGGCCCCGGGCCTCTCCCCCGGGACCAGGCCTGGGCCGCTCTCTGACAACCGGGGGGGCCCAGTCCGGGCCCCTGGAGCCCGGGAGGCCGCAGGCTACCTGCACCCCGGCACGGCGCCCTGGCGGCAGCACACAGGCGAGGAGGCGGGTCGAGGAGCAGGAGGTCGGCTGTGGGGGGCAGGGGTGCGAGGACGGCCAGGTGCACCCTGTCGAAAGCTGGGCGAGGGCTGCTGAACCCGTGGCTGCTAACACGGCCCTCCCGGCAGGACAAAAACAGCCTCCCGGAACGAGGCGCGGCACGCGAAACCGTCAGCGGGCTTCTTCCCGGAAGGACGAAGACAACTTTCCGGAGGTCGACTTTAGCATCCACGGATTTAGCAGCCCTTGCCCGGCTTCCGACCTTAGTTCGGCGGTGGACAAACCTCCCTTTCGTAAACCTCCCCTGAGTGAAAACGGCCTGGGGCCAAGACCGACGGACCTGGACCCGCAAACACGACGGCCGCGACGCCCTCTCGCGAACCGAGAACGGCCCATGCCTTCATCGACGTGTCAGAGTACAGTCGGACTTGAGACACTCGAGAGGACACGAGACCCTTCCGAGGGCCACGCTGCCACAGAAGTGCAGGAGGCATGGGCCGCAGGACACAGGACACGAGGGTACCCTTGATCTGGCAGGGTCGACCTACTAATCCGGGCCGCCCGTAAGAGGTCTATCCACCTCCGATCGGTGCTGCTGCAAGGAACTATCACAGGAGGAAGGAGGAGGAGGAGGAGGAGGAGGAGGAGGAGGAGGAGCGGGAGGAGGAGCGGGAGGAGGGGGGGGAGGAGGAGGAGGAGGAGGAGGAGGAGGAGGAGGAGGAGGAGGAGGAGGAGGAGGAGGAGGAGGAGGAGGAGGAGGAGGAAGAGAAACAAAAACTGCATGAACATAAACTGTCGGAGATCCGCATGGATTTCTCGGCTTTGCGCTGGGCCCCCTCAGCGGCGCCTCCAGCGCCGCCCCTGGTTTTCTCCGCACGCCAGGGGAGGGGGTCCCAGCGCCGATCGAGGAAATCCGCGCGGACATCCGAAAGAAAACGTTGAAGCAGTTGATGTTCTTCTAACTCAGAACGCTCTAGCGAAACGCTACGAAGGGAAGTAGGGAACCGAACTATATACATCGACGCTATTTCCGGCCCAGCACTGAAACTCGCACAGGACAGCGGATCCTGGTGTATACGGGATCCTGGCGTATTCATGTTTCATTGCTTCCCCGGGAGAACGGGAAAAAAGTATACACCGCACCACCCCCACGTCGGCCCCGACCCTCAACAAGTCCTGGGATTGAAAAACAGCTCACCACTGGTAATGCATGTGCTCCAGTTTCCGAGGAAGATCGCCAAAAACCTGACGACGACGACGACGACGACGACGACGACGACGACGACGACGACGACGACGACGACGACGACGACGACGACGACGACGACGACGACGACGACAACTTCGCGACGTCTTCTCAGGGCGAGGATTTTGGAGTCCCGAAACGGTGCGGTGACAGACCGTGCGGTGACCTCGAAATCCCGCAAGACCTCACCGCACGGTCCGCCACCGCACGGTCTTGGGACCCTGGAGGCCCCTGTCGCCCGAGACGTCCTCGGAGAGGGACTCGAGTCCCAAAGCCGTGCGGTGACCCCGGATCCCCACCAGCTCACCGCACGGTGTGGTCACCACCCCGTTTGTAGGGGGAAGACAAACCTACCTCGCTTTTGACCACCCTCGCTTCCAAGAGATACCAAGCGATGCCAAACTACGGCATGTACTGGTCAGGTCGCTTGACGAGGAGGCGCGTGGTATGACTTGGTTTTTCCTGGAAGCGAAAGCGGGGTAGGTAATTCACGCTCTGAATCTGGGGGCCCCCGATTCCTCAGGGCGAGGATATGCCCGGGGAGCCACCCGGAGGCGCAGGAGAGCGGCGGCGGCCAGCCGGCGGCGGGCGGCCGCCGAGCGGGCTGCGGCGGCCAGCTGCGGCAGGGGGGGGGGGCGAGCTCCCGAGAGGCCAAAAAAAAGTGTGCGCCCTGAGGGCCCCCAAGAGAAGAAGGCACGCTTCTCGGTGGTTCAAAGAGGGGGCGCGAAGTGCGAAGAACTTCGCGCTCCCGCGCCGCCTCCCAGGGGGGGAGAGGAGGAGGAGAAATCGGAGCCGAACCGCGAAGCGCGAAGCGCGAATAACTTCGCGCCCTCGAGGGCGCCCTTGTTCAAAGATGGGGTGCTGAGGGATGGGGTCCTAAGGATAGGAAGCGATCCAGCGGTGGACCTGCACTGTCCGAGGCGCCTCGTCCTCGGGACCCCAGCCCTCAGGGGACCCCGTTTCTGAACCACCGGGCCTTCCTTGCCCCCGAGGGCACAAATCCTGCCGTCGGTGAGCAAGACATGTCTGCCATCGGGGAGCTCAGAAAGAAAATGTGTGCCTTCGGTGAGCGCTCGTGGCCGTGGCCGATGGGGGCCGGCCGCGCGGTGCTGGCGGCTGCCAGGAGCTGGAGCAGGTACCCGGCCCCCGGAGGGGCCCCTGGAGGGGCCCCCCCGCAGGGCCCCAGGAGCGCCCCCAGGACGGCCCCAGCCAGGGGGAGCCCAAGGGAGGCCCCAGAGAGAGGGAGCACAAACCGACACCGCGAGCCCTCTGCCCCCAGAAAAAAAGGCAAAACATCCACCCCCACAGAACCACCACCCCCACGAGCGAAGCCGCTGAGCAGCCGCACGCAAAGAAGGAATCGGACAGGGCAGGGCTGCTCAGTAAACGCCCAGGGCCGCTTTAGCAAACCCCAATTATCGGGTCCGGTTCAGCGGCAGCACGGGCAGGGAGATCTGCCCGCTCGAGGCCCAGCTCATCCTCGGCCCGGATCGGCGTCTGTGTGCGCTCAGGTCGGGCGTGTCTTCCGACAGGCGGATTTGGAAAGAAAAATGAAAAATCGGAGGTTGGGGGGTGAGGTCGCAATGGAACGGAGACTCCCAACCAGGAAATCGTTTCGATTCGTTCGTGTCGTGCGTGCAGGCGAGGCGAAGCTGCGTGGGCGCGCGAGAGGAAACAACCCGCCGTTGCTAGGGAGAAGTCAAGACAAATGATTCTCCTCGTCCCGCCCGTCCAGCGGTGGCCCGTGGTGTCCCGCGGTGTCCCGTGGTGTCCCGTGGTGTCCCGTGGTGTCCGCCGTTGCTAGGGCGAAGTCAAGACAAATGATTCTTCCCCGCTCGCCCGTCCGTCCATCCGTCCGGCGGTGGCTCGCGGTGTCCCGCGGTGTCCCGTGGTGTCCAGTGGTGTCCCGTTGAGTGAGATCGATAGTGAGATCGATAGTGAAATCGATACTAAGATCGATGTGGTGCCCCGAGGTGTCCCGTGGTGTCCCGTGGTGTCCCAAAAAGTGACATCGATAATGAGATCGATCTGGTGTCCCGTGGTGTCCCGTGGTGTCCCGCGGTGTCCCGTGGTGGCCCGAGGTGGCCCGAGGTGTCCCGTTGAGTAAGATCGATAGTGAGATCGATAGTGAGATCGATACTGAGATCGATGTGGTGGCCCGAGGTGTCCTGTGGTGTCCCGTGGTGTCAAAAAAAGTGAGATCGATAGTGAGATCGATAATGAGATCGATCTGGTGTCCCGTGGTGGCCCGAGGTGTCCCGTGGTGTCCCGTTGAGTGAGATCGATAGTGAGATCGATAATGAACTCGATACTGAGATCGATGTGGTGCCCCGGGGTGTCCCGTGGTGTCCTGTGGTGTCCTGTGGTGTCCCAAAAAGTGAGATCGCTAGTGAGATCGATAGTGAGATCGACATGATACTGAGATCGATGTGGTACCCCGAGGTGTCCCGCGGTGTCCCGTGGTGACCCAAAAGGAAAGATCGATAGTGAGATCGACAGGTGTCCCATAGTGTCCCGTGGTGTCCGGTGGTGTCCCAAAAAGTGAGATCGATAGAGAGATCGATAATGAGATCGATAATGAGATCGATGTGGTGTTCCGAGGTGTCCCGTGGTGTCCCGTGGTGTCCTATGGTGTCCCGTTGAGTGAGATCGATAGTGAGATCGATAATGAGACCGATAGTGAGATCGAGAGCTGTCCCGCGGTGTCCCGTGGTGGCCCGAGGTGTCCCGTGGTGTCCCGTTGAACGAGATCGCTAGTCAGATCGATAGTGAGATCGACAGCTGTCCCGTAGTGTCCCGTGGTGTCCCGTGGTGTCCCAAAAAGTGAGATCGATAGTGAGATCGATAGTGAGATCGATAGTGAGATCGATGTGGTGTCCAGAGGTGTACCGTGGTGTCCCGTGGTGTCCCGTGGTGTCCTGTGATGTCCCGTTGAGTGAGATCGATAGTGAGACCGACAGTGAGATCGAGAGCTGTCCCGCGATGTCCCGTGGTGTCCCGTGGTGACCCGTGGTGTCCCGCGGTGTCCCGTGGTGCCCCGTTGAGTGAGATCGATAGTGAGATCGATAGTGAGATCGACAAGCGTCCCGTGGTGTCCAATGGTGTCACTTGGTGTCCCGTTGAGTGAGATCGATAGTGAGATCGATTGAGTCAGATGTTGGTTCCCCCCTCCCCCCCCCACACAATCTCCTGATCACCCGAAGGGTGGTCGTATAGGTAGTGGCATTGATTGTGACATCGATTGTGAGGTGGATAGACATATTGCTAGTGAGATCGGTTGTGAGATCGTTAGTGAGACCGATAGTGAAGAGGATAGTGAGACCGAGTGTGAGATCGACAGTAGGATCGATAGTAAGATCGATAGTGAGATCGACAGGGAGCTCGATAGTGAGATCGATTGTGAGGTCGATTGTGAGATCGATAGGGAGAGCGATAGTGAGAACGATAGTGAGATCGATTGTGAGATCGATCGTGAGAGGGATAGTAAGATCGAGTGGGAGATCGATAGTGAAATCGATAGCGAGATCGATTGTGGTATCGATCGAGTGAGACCGATTTTGAGATCGACAGTGAGGTCGATAGGAAGAGCGATAGTAAAATCGATAGAGGTATCGATAGTCAGACCGACACTGAGATCGATGGTAAGATCAACGGTGAGATCGATTGTGAGATCGACAGCGAGAGGGATAGTGAGATCCATACTTCCATACTGAGATCGTTTGCGAGATCGATAGCGAGATCGATCGAGCGATATCGATTTGAGATCGGTAGTGAGATCGATAGGGCGATCGATATTGAGGTCGATTGAGTGAGACGTTGGGCCCCCCCGAATCTCCTGTCTCCCGAAGGGTGGTCGCAGCAGCGCCGAAGCCGACTTCGACCTCTCAGGAGCTGCATCGGAAGGGAGGGAAATCAAGAGCGAGGAGCGGGAGCAGGCAGGGAGGCAAGGAGGCAGGAGGGCAGACACGCACGGGGACCAGAGAGGGGGGGGTGAGCTCTCCGCCGCATCAGCCCCTCGAGGACGAAGGCGGGACGTGCCCGGCGAAACGCAGGGCCTCCTCCTCCTCCGCCTCCTCCCCCTCCGCCTCCGCCTCCGCCTCCGCCTCCTCCTCCTCCTCCTCCCCCTCCTCCTCCTCCTCCTCCGCCTCCTCCTCCGCCTCCTCCTCCGCCTCCTCCTCCTCCTCCGCCTCCTCCTCCTCCTTCTATCGCGGGACTGCCGCGGGGCCTTCATGTAGATGTTGACGAAGGACTGGGCACCGAAGAACATCACCAGGTGCGGGACCATGGACTCACAGGATAGGCCCCACACCCCCTCCCGTCCACGCCTCCTTCTCCTCCTTATCCTCCCCGGTTTTTTTTGTTCCCAACCATCCTGTGGTGTTGGGTCCTCGTTTTGAAGAGACAGCGCCCCGCGTCTCCTCTTTCCTCATCTCCTTCCGCCTCCCTTCCCCTCCTCCCATCCCTTGCCTCTGCCCTCCGCATGTCCTGATGATCGTCATCATCAGCATCATCCTCATCAGCATCATCATCATCATCAGCAGCAACATCATCAGCAGCATCATCATCAGCAGCAGCATCATCGTCATCGTCATCGTCGTCGCCGTCATCATCACCATCGTCGTCAAACCCAGTACAGCGCTTCGTGGCCCCATGGGGAGCTCCACACAAGGTCCCAGTGGCGCAGTTCGCATGCGTCTCCCCCACCCAGTACAGCGCTTCGTGGCCCCATAGGGAGCTCCACCGATAGGGAGGTCTACCGGAGGTCCCACTGGCGCAGTTCGCATGCGTCTGCCCCACCCAGTACAGCGTTTCGTGGCCCCATAGGAAGCTACACCGAAGGTCCCCGTGGCGCAGTTCGCATGCGTCTCCCCAACTCAGCACAGCGTTTCGCAGTGGCGCAGCCCGAACGCGTCTCCCACACCCAGTACAGCGCTTCGTGGCCCCATGGGGAGCTCCACCGAAGGCCCCAGTGGCGGCGCGGCGTGCGGGCGCTGCCGTCGGGGTTCCCGGGGAAGCTCCCGGCGGCGGCCACGCTCAGTGTCACGAGTACTCAGAGGCAGGCATATGCGAACCATTCATATTCATATACATTTACACTAGGCGTACCAATGCTCGCATTCACGCAAATATGCTCACTCGCACGCAGATTCATTCACACACAGACTCATTCGCGCTCAGACTCACCCGCGCTCAGTCTCTCGTAATTAGACATATCGTTTTCGTTCTTGTTGTGTGCCCCGCCACAGAATTCGGCACACACGTCATACGGTTCGTGGATTCGTGGCCCCATAGGGAGCGCCACCGAAGAAGATATCCGCCGGCCCCCTTGTGGGGCCAACAGGCTGTAGGGCGAAGGTTCGCAGTTTCCTGTACCAGTTGCAGCTTCCAGTTTCCACCGTTACATTTCTGCTTCTTGCTGCTAAATGTTCCTTGTTACAGTTCTGCTTCTTGATGCTTACTGTTCCTTGTTGATGGACCGCGCGAAGGGGTAAGGCCCAAAACGGGCATGTTTACCACGGCCAAAACGTATGCTCTGAATTGCTGGGGTGGGGAAAATTTACACCCCTCACACAGATCGGCGGGGTCAGGGTGCAAAATCACAAGACATTTGCCACATTTCTCAAATTCGGTGGCGCCCCTCACGCAGATCGGCAGGGTCAGGGTCCACAAACACTGGGGATTTGCCACATTTCTGAAATTCGCTGGCACCACTCACGCAGATCGGCAGGGTCAGGGTCCAAAAACACATGGGATTTGCCACATGTTTCAAATTCGGTCGCGCCCCTCACGCAGATCGGCGGGGTCAGGGTGCAAAAACACAAGAGATTTGCCACATTTCTCAAATTCGGTCGCGCCCCTCACGCAGATCGGCGGGATCAGGGTCCAAAAATACTTGGGATTTGCCACAGTTCTAAAATTCGGTGACACTCCTCACGCAGATCCGTAGGGTCAGGGTCCAAAAACACAAAGGATTTGCTACATTTCTGAAATTCGGTGGCACCTGTGATGCAAATCCGTAGGGTTTCAGGGTCGAAAAACAAACAGGTCCCGACACTGCTTCACGGCGGCGCCCAGACCTCATGATTCAGCTTTTGCATCTCCCATTATCCGAGACAGGGGGCCGGCGGCATGGGGCGAAGCCCTTACGGATTTACAATTGCAGTACTCACAACTGCCATATGGTTGGGTCCTCCGTCAAGATAATTGTGCTCTCCCCCTCCTCCTCACACCTCCACCCTCCTCCCTCCTCCCCCTCCTCCTCCTCCTCACCCCTTCTCCTCACCCCTCCACCCTCCTCCCCCTCCTCCCCCTCCTCCTCCCCCTCCTCCTCCTCACCCCTTCTCCTCACCCCTCCACCCTCCTCCCTCCTCCCTTTATCTACCGTGCTCCTGGCACGTTGGAGCGTAGCAGAGCCTGACAGGGCAAGGACGGGAAGCGCCGGTTTTGCCATTGGGCCTCTAGGGCGAAGAGCAGGAGGAGTATGAGGACGACATGCAGGCGGATGACGAGTATTGCAGCGTGGAGAACGAGAAGGACAGCGAGGAGGAGGAAGACGAGGAGGAAGATAAGCACGAGGGAGGAGGAAGAGAACGAGGACGACGGGCACGAAGAGGAATGAGGAGGAGGAAGAGGCGGAGGAGGAGCACGAGCACGAAGAGGAATGAGGAGAAAGGAGGGAGTAAGAGAATGACGACGACGAGGGGGCGCAGTGAGGAGCGCGAGGATAGGACGTCGAAGAGGGGGAAGGTCCGAGTGACCTTTGGGGGTCATCCTGGGGGCTACTGGGGTCGTGAGGGGCTGCTTTGGGCCCCCTGGGAACATCTTGGGGACCTTCGGGGGTGCTTCTGGGCGCTTCTGGAGCAATCTTGGGCTGTCTGGGCGTATACGGAGGTTATGTGGGGGCTCCCTTGGGTCGTGTTGCCGCCATAGTGAGCCGTCTTGGGGCTCTCTTGGGCCGTCTGGGGGACCCCGACAGGCCTCCCAAAAGACCCCAAGAGACCTCTCAGATGCCTCTTGCCCACGCCCCAGACACGGTGACGGGATGGGCCGAAGGCCACTATTCTATTATGTCCGCCACTGTGCCTCGAGGCACGAGTTGGAGTGTCCTCACGTCCTTTGAATCGGGAGTCTTGTCCTGCACCATTGAATGTCAAACAGGCCCCGACCCCAACTTGCAAGAGATTCCCCAGGGCCTTCCGCGTATTCCAGCAGACCTCTTGGGGTTCCTCGCAGGACTCCTTCCGAGGCCAGATGGTTCCAAGACGGCCGAAGAGGGCCTCAAGAGGGTCCCAAAACGGTCCAAGATGGCTCCGAGACTGACAAAGAGTGCCTCGAGACGCCCAAGATGGTCTCTTACGACCCGAGAGGCCACCCAAGCGCCCCGATAAGGCTCCAAGATGAACCCCAAGAAGGACCAAGCAGGGATAACACGTTGAGTTCCTTTAGGTCTTGCCTTCTCGGGCTTCTAACACTCCAAGATCGCCCCAAAGCGGCCCAAGAGCTTCCAAAGAGGGCCCCGACAGTGGCCAAGAAGACCCCAAGACGGCCCAAGAGGCACCCAAGCTGGCCCAAGAGGGCTCCAAGAGAGCCAAAAAAAGGACCACGGACGCCCCAAGACGGCCCAAGAGGCACCCAAGCTAGCCCAAGAGGGCCCCAAGAGGGGCCTCGAGAGGGGACAAAGAGGGGGAGCACGAACTAGCATGTCGAGCTCACGGCCCCAAGATGACCTACGCCCCCGAGAGGCTTCAAAGTGCCGCCAAAGCGGCCCCCTGGCGTGCATCCAAGAGGCCTCCGGTCCACGAGCCAAGGCGCGGTGGCGGGCTTCGCCGAAAGCCACTGGATAACATAAGTTGCAGCGCTGTTCAGATAGTGGCGAGGTAGCTTCCTCACGCTGTTCCTGCTAAACGCAATATCCGCAACAGCCCCATGGACGGGAAGTCTGCGTGCGACGTGCACACGGCAAGCAGCGAAAAAGAAAATGCATGCATGTCTCAACGAGCCGTGAAGCAAATACCTTGCGGGCTCCATGCTCCTTTCCTCTTGCTCCTCCTTTCCTCTCCTCTTCTCCTCCTCCCCCTCCTCCTGCCCCTCTCCTGGTCATACATTTCTCATTCGTCCTCGCTCCTCGCTCCTTTATGCTCTCTCCTCTTGCCACCTACTCCTCCTCCTCCATCTTCCTCCCCCTCCTCCTGCGACACTGCGGGCATGGCGGTCCTGTTCCGCCGCAGCCCGCGCCGCGCCGCGCGCTACTGCGCGACGCGACGCCGAACCAGTCGAGCGACCGATGTTGGCCCAGGGACCCGCCACCAGGGAGAGGAAGCCTCTAAGTTTCGGAGCGAAGGAAGGCGGGCCCAGGGAAAACGGAACCAGGCGAACGCGTCCAGGGGGAAAGCGAGAAACGAGGGCCTCCTGGGCGATCGGAGAGGGCGAGATCGAAGGACGCGAACGAGGCCTGGCTGATGCCGCTGAGAAGGCCCCTTGTGGGCGACTGGTAGTCTACCCGTCCTAGCGCCCGTGCGGGCTCTGTTAGGTGGGCATGTGCATCTCCCCCCCCTCGTCCTCGAGGGGGCGTTCACCTCGGGGTTGGCCTCGTTCGCGTGCGTACACGGCGCCATCGCGTGGTGGTTGCCCCCGTTGCTCTTCTTGTGCCCCTGTTACGGGCATGGCGTTTTCCGTTGTCTGACGACGTGTGGTGTGGTCGGTCGTGCGTTCTGACGTGGTTGATGAAGCGAGGCAGTTCGAGGCTTGTGGCGACGAGTATCCAGGTCGCGGCTCGAGGAGCACCGCGCCTGGACGTTCTGACATCCAGCAGTCGGGTCCTGGCTGTTGTGGATGACGATGCAGTCGAGCATGCCACATATCGTCGGTGCTGGGTCGGCGTTCGGTGCTGATGTGGTCGCCGTTGCCATCATGTCCATCATAGTGCCACGTCTGTGCCTTTGTGTATGCGTCGGCGGTGGGCTGGAGTGTTTGCTCTATGGCCTGCGTCAGTGTCGTTGTCGTGGTGATGTCTGCAGGGCAGTTGCAAGCAGTGAATGCTGTGGTCGGGGTTGTGCTGCACGTCGTTGTGATGTATGCGTATTCCTGTAGCTGCAGGTGTCGGAGGCTGCTGTCCAAGATGATGGTAGGTGTGCGCGTCATCATCATCCGCTGTGCGGTCCGTAGGACGTGCCTCATGCTGTCGTTGTCTTGTCGTACCGCTCTGTGCTGCGCGGGTGTGAGATCCAGTCGTCCCCAAGGTGCCTCTTGCGTCCTGAGGTTGAGGTCGCGGTCGAAGGTCGTGAGGTC